TATGTGCAGGTTAATCTACTTTAATAGTCAATATTGGCTCACCTAAAAATGACTTTAAAAGTAGAGGTACATAACCAAGACAAACAGCAGTGGCAGTGGGCCCTGGGCACTCACTGTGTTTTCTTCCTCTGAGTGTTCAGGACCATGGGAACTGATTTTCTCAGGATGTGAACTCGTGATTTGGTCTGTAACTGTTGGTATCCAACATCTCTGGAGAAAAAAAATACTGAGGTTTTAAGAGGGTAGTTGCAGTGGGTTTTACTGATGAAGGGGATGTGGTTTTCTCTGGAGTACAGTAACTTTCCTGTTCTCCGTAAGATAGAGGTTCTCAAGATCAAACTGTGTCTTTAATTAAAATATATTAATTCCTGAGGGATAGGACCACGTGACTGCTTTCATGATCTTGTAATACCTTGTAGTCACTGAAAGATCTGTTTAATCTGACTTTGCTTTATGTATTTTACAAATGTAGGCGCTTACAGGGCTGAGAATCATTAGCCAAGCCTTGTAATTTGTTTCTTGGAGGGTATATTTGAGGTCCCTGAGTTGGTGCTCTCCTCATTTTCTGAAGTCACATTCACTCACACCATCCTTATGAGATTTGGCTTCCCTTGGTTATCTGATGAGTATCTTGGAAGTTTTGTTGTCATTCCATTCGGTACAAAGCTGTACAGTCAGTGGGCCTTTTCCTCTTTCCTTTATTTGTAAGTTTGTATCTGAACATGATTTTTCAGGGAGGATGGAGTACGAGGGAGCTTTCAGCTGTTCTGTGCTGCATCTCGTCTGCCAGGGCTGAGGACAAGCCCAAAGCAGGTGACAATTGCAGACAGCACCATTTTGTATTGAACTGTCAGCATGAATCCAAGCAAAAGTGTCTGTGCATTGTTGAATTAAGTCTTGAAACTATATTTTGAGATAAAATCCATCTAAGCTTTGCATGTACTGAAGAAACTGGACGGGCTGCCCTGGCAGTATAATGAGACTCTTGCAGTTCAGTGATACACAAAAGCAAGGAAGACATATTGTGGAGCAAATTTCCAGATAATTTTGGCTGTATTCAATGCTGTTTTTTCTTGAAATTTACATAAAAATAAACTGCATCATCCTTTTTAAGGATACAGGTCAGGATGCTGGCGAGTTTGGTAAGCAGCCTTAATGAAAATTAATTATTGGAGCTGTGTGTGCACATGTGCCAACAGATTGGCACCTTATCCCTTTACTCCTTCCTGCAACCCAGAGAAATTTTTAATTACTATTACATTTATTTTTAAATCAGCATTGCTGAAGAGCCAGAAGAGGCTGGAAGTATTAACACATGTAGCATTTAGAAAAAGCAACTGTATGTAGCATGAATGCTTGCCTTTTTTTTTTTTTTTTTTTTTTTTTTTGTAGGTAGAAAAGTATCCTAGCTAGGAATATTCATTGCAGTATTTTGTTATATTTGCTTCTAGTACTCAGATAGGCTTTTTGTTAGTATTTTACTGCATTCTTAAAGAGGGTAACAACAGAGATGCTTTCCTGGCTTCTCAAATGTTGGTTGGCCAAGGTTGGCCTTGTGGTGAGCCCTTGCTGTCGTTAATTCCTGAGTGCAGGTATCTCACCCCTATTAACCGACCCCCTGTACCTTCCATCCCTCAGCCAGTTATTTCTCTCCTACGGTTTCCTTTCTGAGGTGGCTTCTGTTTTTCCTGCCAAATTTCCTGTTTCCCTGTGATGCTCTATAACAACCAAACTTGTCCTTGCAGGTCCAATTTAAAATTTTGCTTTCCATTCCAGCCTAAAGATATAAATAAAGCTCAAGGGTGCAGCAGTGGTGTGATGGTGAGCCTGAGGTGTGAGCTGCAGAAATGCCCAAGTCATCAAAGCCTCTGCATGGAGTCTTTGCTCCCTATTTTATTTTCATTTTTGCTTTCAGTGGATATTTAGTGAGCTCTGATTACATAATTGAATTTGATAAACTGATGGTATGTGATTGATGAGAAAGTCAGGAATAAAAGATTAGAAGATAAAATTACTTCAAGGGTTTAAGTAAATCTTCCAGAGAGCCAGGGTAATTTATAAAGCATGCTATACTCTTTATAAAAATAGTCTCCTAGGTCTGTTAAATTTTAGCTTATAACAGAACTGGATTGAGTTTGGAGAATCATTTTCATGTAACACCAGCTTGATTGTTACGTGCTTTAAATAGGAGATGGCTCTGAGTGGGCTGCAGTATCACTGGGTTTGGAATATTTGAGTAGGAAATGTAGGGCTCAGTGACAGACCTGTGGGCAGCAGTCTTTGTCTTCCAAATAAATCGTTTTTTTTCTTGGAAAACCCTAAGTTAGAATGAGTAAGTGGATAATTCAGAGTGAAGTAATGAAGGAGGTTATGCTGCTGAGTCTGTAAATCACTGAAAACCAGGATCAACAAATAACTCGGGCAGGGGTTTATAGAGCAGACACCAGTTTCACTGTAATCTCCTTCAGTGAGTCAACTTTCTTCGGGGAGGAATAGTTTAGGAAGCTCATTCCATGAGCAGGTAAATGTTGTTCTTGGGGGACTTGGCACTAATGATTTCCATGTACCAGTTGGTCTCTATTACAAACCCTTCCCCTGAACACCAGCACTGCTCCCAGCTGCTGCCTTTCCATCTCCAGAGGAAGCCTGACACCTTTAATCTTTTAAGGGTAGAATGTCTGTCTTGGAACTCTCTTGTGAGACTCCCCAAAATATCTGTGAAGCCTTTGACAAGGCTTAACATTTTCTCACTTGTTTAGAAATAGCTTTACAAAAATTTACTCTTCACTCTGGGTAAAATAACTGCATTTCACATGAACATCTTCTGGCTCCAGCTTAAATTTTAATTTATAATGTTTAAGATATTGGTTGATTTTACTGGTTAGGAGAAAATGAGAGTTGAGATAAGATGACTCCACAATAATTGCAGTCATTAAAACAAGAAGCTTTGCACAATATATTCTCAGTCATGTAATAGAGTGAAGAAGTGTAAAAACTATCCTTGGCTTGCCTGGGAATATCTGTGAGTTTGGAACTGTTCCGATTTTCTCATATGTTGAATTTTTGTATCTTCCTGTATGGCCAATTTAAAGAAGATATTGCTGATCTCCACTCGTCATATATCAGTTTGTTTGAAAAATGGGTTCTTTAAAGTGCTATAAATCAGAAAAGTCCCTTCCCTCAAATGCAGTTTTTAATTCAGTTTGCAAGAACAGATTTTGTGTGATAGTTTCTAAGTATTGCTTTAGGATTATATGTGCCTTTTTTTTTTTTCCTGCATAAATGGCTGTGTTTCTTAAGCTAAGTTCTAAAAACTTAGGATGCAGTTTGTCAATACAAATCACCAGACGTGTGGGGAGCTGCTGTTTGATTTATGGCCAATTGCAGGAGATATTTTGGCGACAGTCAGCCTGGGGCTCCCCGACCACACTCAGCTGGAGTCCAGCTGCTGCCCTGGGACATTCTCTGTGCTTCCATGTGCTCTGTGAAGTAATAAAAATTCCCTGATAAGAGGCCAAGTGAAAGATAAGGGCTTAGAGAAGTTGACATCACCAGGCTGGGCTGCAAACCCAGAACACCAGAGCCCTTGGAAAACCACCAACAGCCCTTGCCCTGAGCTCTTCTTGCCCAGTCCATGTGCTTGGTGCCCTGTGGCCATCACCTATTAAAGATTACAGGGTGTGACCTGTGGAGTCAAGAATTTCAGCCAGCCTTGAATAGTACATGAGGTCACTTCCCTATAAACTGTAAAAAAAAAAAAAAAAAAAAAAAAAATCTTGAAGTCTTTAAATAGCAAGTATAAAAATGCCTGAGCTTATCTAAAATAAATTTTAAATGAAAGGTTAGCAGTTTAACTGAACCATTACTTGCACTGGGACAACATTTGTATATCTTGGGGTTTTTTGGTATTTTCTATATAAAGTACATACCCTGCACTCTTAAAAGCAGATTTCAGTATCATCTGGCTATTAAATATTATTCATATTTTCGATTAGATCTCTGACTTTGAATATAACTCGTGAGTTTTATATAGAGACATAAACTCCCTGGAATGGTATAAGGCAGGTTGGATGGAGCTCTGAGCAACCTGGGCTAGTGGAAGGTGTCCCTGTCCATGGCAGGGAGTGGAACTGGATGATCTTTAAGATCCCTTCCAACCCAGGCCATTCTATTATTTGATGTTAATTTTGCTTTAGAAGGTATTTGTACACTTCTAAGATTAAGCCTTTAGTTACAAGTAGAAGTTTGACACATGAAGTGTGAAAAACTTCATCTTCCAGAGGCGTCTGGGGTGAATCTCCAGCAGGTGTGGACTCAGAATAAATCTGTGTTTGAGTAGAGATTTGGCAATTTACCCATCAAGGATTTTGCTGCTTTGGAGTATTCTGAGTATCTGTGATACACAAGAGTTTGAGACTACATGTGACCCTTGCATATTATTGAAGAACTCTAATTCAAAATCTGTTAGTGGCTTCAGGTAATATAATTTAACACATTTTGGTTGGCAAGAATATTGGAAAATACGTTAAACTTCTGATTTTGTGAGGTGTTTTTTTTTTCTAACTTTTCCCTATCAAAACTCTTTATTTACCCTGAGACTTCTCCTGCTGTGATAATCATTTCTATCCAAGATTACTCTTCTGGTTTCTATTCAAGAAATGAAAAAAAAAAAGCTTCAAGTGGATTTAATCCTCACAGAGGAGGGGGGGGGAAGCCAATAGGGCTGATCACTGCCTGCCACAGCAGACAATGCTGGAATTCTCATAGGGCTAAACAGTAAACATGGACAAAAGCTTGTCTGAGTGGGCAAGGACTAAGGTTATAAAGATCTTGGGGATTCTGCCTCTGAAATAAAGCTTAGTTATGATGAAGCCTGAACGGAATGGTGTTGTTTCTTGTTTCACGATGTCCATTTTGAAAAGAAATGAGCTAAATATCAGTGGTGTATCCCCTATTTTCTTCAGTACACCTCCAAACCCATTTTTCCCTTTGTGTTTCAGATGATGTTGCACCCTACTTCAAGACAGAACCGGGCCTGCCCCAGATACACCTGGAAGGGAACCGACTGGTCCTGACGTGCCTTGCCGAAGGCAGCTGGCCCTTGGAATTCAAGTGGTTACACAACGACAGCGAAATCACCTCCTACTCCAGTGAATATAAGTAAATAATCTATATAATCACCTTCTCTAAGTGTAATTGCCAAAAAAAACCCAAATACCCAAAACAAATGCCACTCCCCAATTCCTCGGTACCTCGAGGAGCTTGTAGAGACAGACACATGGCCACTGGTTTTTTTATCATGAAAGAAGACTGGGTTTAGTAAACAGGTGAGATCTCTGAGAGAATCTCCTTTGCTAAGAGTGTTTAATGCTTCAAAACAGAGGTCTTAACACAGAATTTTTGAGTACCAAAAATGCTTTGTGCTGGAGATGCAACCTTACCTGTATTTGTATAAATAGGAGACATAATTCCTCAGCTAAATGTTCCACGTGTTGTGACTCCTCCTGGAAGGGAGCTGAGCTCAGTGGGACTGTTCTTTGCAATCAGATCCAGAAGAATGTGGTCTGCCTTAAATTCCACACAAACCTTTCTGTTTCACTGCTAAGAATGCCAAAATTAAGCTGGTAGTTTAACAGACTGTTCTTTCATGATTATGCACTTTGCCCCCAGGACCTCCCCGACTCCCTCCCCATCCCACAGACTTCCCATCAAACAAGAGAAAAACCATGAAGTGCCTTATCAGAGCTACATTTGTGCTGATAGGTAGCACATGACTGGCCAAGTATCCAAGTGTCAAACAGCCAATTTTGTCTGCTTTTCTTTAATGTGGGAGTATTGACTGGGTCTTCTCTGTGCGGTTGGCAGTTTTCATAACTTTAGAGAATTTAATGTTTGTGCAGCTTACTTGCTGCTCTCAGATTTTGTAGAAATCACCTGGTGAATTCAGAAGTTATGAGGGATGGATTTGTGCCAAACAGAGCCCTTGTATAACACCTGCACCTTTAGCAAATCAAGCTAAATACTGCATTTTTGGGATTACATGAGTTTAGGCAGAGAAAAGTTGTGCTTCATCACCATAGATAGAAATTGCAGTAAAATTTAGTATAAAAATGCAGGTTATGATATGAAGTTATATATTGGTCCACCAGGTAGTCCATAATTACTTACCTTAAATATTTCCAAAATTGTAAGCTAACATTAGATCTATTTTTGATATTATTTACATTTACCGAACAAAGAGGAAAAATGTCCCTTAAATGACTTTTTTAAACTTTTGGGGGGTGATTTAGAACATTTAGCATAAAGTATTTACCAAATGCTTCCAACCACACTTATATGTGAAGTTTCCTGGAAGTGCAAGACTTTTGATTTAGGTGAGCCCACCTTAGTCCTGCTTTCAAGCCTTGAGATGCCCTGCTACCTCAAAATGAGCCACATGCACATATGGGGGAGATTTGTGAACACTTTCTAGAAAATAAAAAGAATCTCTAATAGCACAACAAATCACAGAATGTTTGAGCATCACTTTGTGTAAACGCCACTTGTTTTGATCAACAACAGCAGAGTCAGTTGTAGTTGCTCAGCAGAAGGAGCTGAAAACAGCTTTTAATGCATAAGGTGCTGAGAAAAGTGGGATAAAAAATGGTGTGGGAGGACAAACAACATGAACATGGAATCAACAACAAGCAAAGGTTAGAACTCAAGCCTTGTAGATGTGCTCGTCACTGGGAGACTGGCATTTCATGATATTAGGAGAAACCTGAGTAAGAACGTGTGACATTTTGAAATAAGATCAGAATGCCATGGTATTTCTTAACCAAGTGGGCACCCTAATACAAAATGAGAATTTTACTGTATATTGCAGTGTGAGTTAGGATCTTGGAACACCTTTGCCAAGGTCTGTTTACACACACCTGCAATCAGTCCTTTGTTTCTCATCATTGCATTTAATTTAGTCTAGTGAATGTCAGGTCATGATTCAAGCTATATTTAATAATTCTGCATTTTTTTTATATTGTTCTTAGTTCTATTTCTAATTAAAACATCTGATGCAGAGGTGATTTAGAAGATAGGCAACTACTGGTTTATAGTAATAAAACATTGATAGAAAATACTAATTTAGAAGTTGAAGCCCTGCTGCTATTACTACACCACAGTCAGACATAAACCAAACAGGATTTTGGTTATATAGAAATGGAAAGCTTTAAGCTTCCACAAAAAGATTATATGGCATAGGTGCCTAAGGATGAATGAAAGCAAGGAAAAGATATGCTTAGACATAAAAATTCCAGTTGCAGAATTTAAACTTTGACCCCATAACAGTTTGCTCTGCAGTTCTCATGGGTAAATAGTCTTTTTAAATGCACGAATCTTCCTGAGTAAGTGACTTCTGCTGCAATTTGAATCATCAGTCAAAGAGTTTTGGTAATTGATATTACTTAGTGAGCCTCAGTTAAAGTAATGTCTATATTGTAACAGGCTGAAAATATATTATTATAACACCCCAAGTGAGTAAAGAACTAATTGGAGTCTTTGCATTTTGACCTTGGTGACCCCGAATGAACAGCTTTTCTTTGTCTAACGAAGCTGATTATGTGCAAAGCCTGGCTCTTACAGTGACTGTGCATACACTGGGCTGGATTAAGAATTTATAAAACAACCTTATAAATTCTTTGTGATCTGAGATACACATAATGGAAACAAATCAGTGCTGCTGACTGCAGTGGTTATTCTGCTTATGTCTAGAAGTTAAGAGGCTTTAAAGTTCAGGCAGTGACCTTTTTCTTTTTTGGTTCCTCCCCCACCTTGTTTTCTTTTGAATTGAGTTTGGGACCAGGTGTGTCTCCCATATTTGCTTTTGTGGCCTGAAATTTATATGAATTTAAGAAACTAAGATTAGGTCTCAGCAGCCATATAATATTTCAAATTACTTTAAAGAATCTGATTATTCTATTTGTGTTTTTAACATCGGACACATTTTAATTTTATTCTGCATAAAAAAAGTGAGATCACTTGATGCATAAGTCCCTTGTTAGAAAGTTTGAATAGATAATAAGTTACATGACTATCCAATAAAATACATTTGCTTTTAATTCTGTGTTCATAATTATGGCTATTAAATCCTGTAGCCTATAGGTTCGCTTTTAACTCTCGGAGCATTTGAAATTCAAATGAGGGTTTCAATTTTAAATTAGGGAGGAAATATAAGTGTTAGTGCATTTCTCCTTGGGTGTCTGATAGCACTCCATCCTCAAACTGACTCCTGGCAGTGTGGTGATGGAGCATGTTCCGCTCTGCAAGGCTTCCCTCGGAGCTCCCTTTCCGCTTGTCGCTTTACATCTTTCCACAGAAACTTTCCAAGCACCAGTTTCTGGTTGGCTGTTCCACTCAAAATGAAGAAACTGTCGACTCTGACTTTCTAAAGTCCTTGCAGAGATCCCCAGAAACCTTAAGTAGCCTCCTGGCATCTATACAATGGGAAGATCTTCTTGCAAGTTGAGAGCGTAGACAAAAATAAAGCAAAATTATGTCTTGTCACTGGAGGAAATTGTATTAACTTTTGATATAAATTCATTGTGGGGAAGAAAGTCTTGTTTTGAATTTAGAAAACACTATTTATATCCCTTCTTGAAGATGAGAAAATAAGCAGAAAGGGGAAAGCATAGCACAAAAAAGCAGTATTATGACTGTTGGGTCAATAAAAAAAGTATATTTTAAAAAATAAGACACATGAGGTGCATAAAGACTGTTTAATATTGTAAACACAGAATCAAATTCCATTAATATTTATCTCTTGCCCAGGTTTGTAATTTTTAAGTTAGTCTCAAATAGTATAACCATATGTCCCATCTCTTTTTTTTTTTTCCACTTTTGTTATTAAGTTCTTCTAATTTTGCTTCCCTTACCTGCACATCATACTCAGTAGGTCCACTGAGGATCCAGCTGCTCAGTAGGTTGGGGCTCCCTTGGAATTTCCAAGGTAGATGGCATTTTCACTGTAAATTTTTAAAAGATTTTCGTTTCTTCAGGCAACATGTTAAAAATGTTTCCTGCTGAAACATTAATAAGTCAGAAAAGAAAACCAAAGTAGGACACTTCTGATCTAATTGATTTGTTTTGTCCTGGTGGCAGCAAAACTAACTCTGCATTACTGTTTTAGTACAGATGAAAAAAGAAGCCTTTAATTTTGGCTTTATTTAATAGAAAAGCCAATGCACTAAATGTTGGCCAAGTAGGATGCTAAACCTTTATGAGAGGAAAAAAACCTGCTAAGCTATAAACTGTCTGGTAAAATGAATTGTACAAATTAATTTTCAGTATTTACTTGCCAGAATATGAAATTTATTTTTTTAATAATTATGTTTTACAACAATCAGCTGCCTGGCAGAGAAGGAAATTATTCTGATTGCTGCGTTTGCTGTCACTTTGCTGCCAGGGTCTCCCAGGAATCCCTAAAATTTGTCCATGGTGCTGGACTCTCTTTTAATTCCCTGTATTTGGTTGTATGACCTATTTCCTATAGTGTATTTATTGCACCATGCAGTGATTAGAGCCTGCATTTATCATACCAGATTCTTCTACCTCCTTTGTTTTTCTGGTGTGTGATCCTGCTCAGATATTAAGCTCTGTGTGTGGGTGTATGCAATGTATCCTAGAAGAGATGTTTTCTTTTAGTGGATTTAAATTTTGAAGATTAAAATTCAGCAGTTTTCTTTTTCCTTATCTTTCATAAAGACTTTCATTAATCCTACCATAATATCTCCTGAAGGTGACTGGGGGAATATGTGCTTTTGATTAATGTTTGTTTAATGCAGGATTATCTCTATTATTCATGTGTTTTAGTCCCATTAAAACTGTGCCTATCAGCTCATTTTCATGTTGAGTAATCAGATGTAGCTGAAGGAGGAAGGTGAGCATTAGTGGACTAAGTGTCTGTTTAAGCACAGTGAAGGGCAGAACAAACACAATGTACAGCACATGGTGTCATTTCCAGAATTCCTCTGAATTACAGTGGAATAATCACATTTTTTTCATTGGACAGCTTCGATGTTCCTTGCAAGTCTTCCTAATACACACATTTAGTTTGCAGTCTTCTTGTGCCTCCTCTGAACAAATTACCAGGCTGCTTTCACCAGCCTGAGGAATGAAGGTGGAGAAAACTAAGGAAAAAATTTATATTTCAAGAGAATTTTTGGATGTACTTGGTATTTATCACATCCAGAACTTCAGACTGAAAGATATTTCATGCATTTTTGTTCTGTTTGTTTTTTGTTGTTGTTTTTTTTTTTAAATCTGTGTATGACAGACAATATTGTAATCAAAGACCAGAGATGATACAAGAATGCTGCTTATCAGAAAAAAATACAATAAGCATTTAAGGCAACGGGTAAAACAGGCAGAAGTGCACTATAATTCTGCATTTTGTCTTGCAGGTACATCATCCCAGCTCTGCAGAGGTCTGATGCTGGATTTTATCAGTGCATTGTACGGAACAGGATGGGGGCCCTGCTGCAGAGGAGATCTGAAGTCCAAGTGGCATGTACGTTGGAATGGGAGTTCTTCTGTCCCTGATTCTTTCTGTGGGGAGAGAAACAACATACCAGTAACACTTGTTAGCCTGAAAAGTCATTAGATAACGTATTTAACAAGTTTTCAAATTATTGCATCACAAGAAGTTTCATCCTCTGGGGTGTCTCTGGGAAGCAGCTCAAAGTGGTGCAACGTTAAGTCTTTAGAACAAGCTTTGAGGGGTTCAGAGCCATCAAAAGAGATCGTTTGGAGGCAGCTGTACATGAGAAAGACTATTTTACCTTTCCCTGAATACACAGGGATTAAGCAAGGCCATACAGCACAAAACTATCAGTTAAAACACCACCACCAAAAAAGCCCAGAGGACAGCAGCAGATACCTGAGAGAGAACGATGTGGTGGAGATAACACCAGGCAGCTTTCAGATCATAATCCCTGTGATACAAAATCAGCAGTTTCACAACAATACTTTAGAAGTCTGTTCTCAACACCTTCCTGAAGCAAACCCTCCAGTGTTTGCACCACTTCAGTTTCGACTGTGCAGAATTTTTGCAATCCAGCTGCCATTAGGAAAGGTTTAGTTGGTTTTCTCAGGAGTTAGTGCCAGGGAACATGACATAAGAAATGATCCCATACTCTTAATTTTCTGTTTTTCAGTTAACATGTAGGAAATATAATCCAAATAACATCTTTGGAATGAGCAATAAAATTAGGCCTTATTCTTTTTTTTCGTAGTAAAAGCATAAAAAAAATTCAAAATAGATAGATTTGCATACTGTGCCTAAGAAGTGGTAAATGGATCAGATTTCTTCTCCTCAGGGTCAGTAACTGGAAATTCAGTTGCAGTAAATGTCACTTGATAAGTGGAATTTAGAGAAATTGAATTATTTATTAGAAACCCAATTTGAAGGAACTGATTCAAGTTAATCAGTATGTCAATGAGGGAAATTACATGGAATTTCCTGTGTTTTAAAATAAAACCAGCTGCAAATGGTATTATGTAAGTTTTGGTATCATATTCATCAGTTTACTGAATTACAGTAGATTATGTTACTATATCTGTAATGTCAGTAATACCAGTAATTTGATGTTTGATCTCCCTATTGTTTCAGAGCTGCTGGGAGCTAAAGTAAAAATAAACTGCTGCTAAACTGGGGGTTTCCTTCCCTGACTTCTACCAACCCTTATACCCCTGCTGTGCAGTGACCTTATGCTCACCCTGATGTGTGTCAGACCCTTGCAAGTACTTTTCCAAATATTCTTCTTCGGTTTTAGTGAATTCTGTCAGGTCACAGAGGATCTACTGAAAGCTGGTGTGAGTGAACATAATTCTGAGCGAGGTGTGGGGTGACGAGCAAGGTTAGCAGGGGAAGGTGAGGGTGAGATGCTCCTCATTGTGCAGCACTGAGCCATTAGAGGAGCCTGGATGCCTCTGGAGTTGCATCTCCAGGTGTGTTTTCAGGGGACAAAGGCTTTGGCAGCAGCACCAGAGAAAAATGTACCCATTTCCTCCTCCATCCCACTGATCGTTCCCACTCTTGCACTGCAGTGTAGCACACGATCCCTTTGGGCCCAGCAGGAAAACTTGTTTGTGCAGCTGTGGACTGGGAAACTTCTCCAAAATTTGGGAAAAAAAGTAACAATTATTTAGTCAGGTTGTTAAAGCAGTTCTTTCCCCCCTCCTCCCCGTCCAGTTCCCTACCCAGCTGCACAAGCAGTTGTACTGACAGAGGGGAGGGAGCGATTCCCGAGGAAGTACTTGTGGGAACAGTGAGAAGGAGACAACAGGAATACTTTACCTTGATGCTGCTGCTGAAGAATCCTGTCTCCTGAAAAGACAGTTTTGTTCCCCTCTGAATGAGGGTAAGATTTGCAGTGAAGTGTTTTGTTTCTCCAGGCTGGTCTGTGTGTGTGGTTGGTTGTTCTGAAGAGAGAAAGAAATGCAATTGTTTGCTTTTCTTCAGTTTAAGTCGTCCCCCCCCCCCATTTAATTTGTAGTTCTGCGTTGCTGAACAAGGCTAAAAAGCTCTCTCTTAAGACTCTCTGTCAGAATTTATTTATTTATTTATTTATTTATTTTTATTGATAAAACCACTGAGAGAAAGCAAACCAGATCTTATATGGCTTGGAAGACCTTTGGTCTTGAGCCTATAGTGACATATATGGCTTCTATAGTGAAATTGCCAGTCAGATTTGCACTTTATTCCTGCAGATGAAAGTGTCCCACAAGTTTTAAATATCCTCTTCCTCCTTCACCCAGGGTAGCTACTGATACCATGTGATTGTTTTCTCTGTTTTAACATTCTTGATCTAAATTGATTGAAGCTGTGTGGATGTAATGAAGTTCCTGGTATTTTGTCATACATTACTTTTTGGTTATTCTTGAAAACATATCAGAAAGCAACATTCCAGGGGACTCCTAAAATCGTCTTGTGCATTCATCAAGACTTACAGGGAGTTGTATTTTAGACATTTTTCTCCTAAGGATTCACTGGAAATGATATATTTTTGCCAGTGGATAGAGGATGCTTCCCAATACACTTCAGCTCATGGTCTCAAGTGAAAAATTGAAAGGTATAATTATAATGTGCACCGAGAAAGATCTGAGGTGTTTTCCATGTCCCAGATATCTGAAGTAGCAGGGAACTTGTTCAATAATTTAAAAAATATTCTCAACACATGCTAACATATTGCTTAGCTGAATGGGAACAGATATTTGAGAGAAAACTGCTGAGTAAATCTTAATTACAGATTGGGCTTTAAAACTCTTGGATTGTGAAAACTGAAATAATCATATGACAGTGAAGTTAATTAGATCCACCTACGCGGTTTGAAACTTCTTTTCAAGTAGCTGATCTGATTACAGTTGTGAGGAATATGGAGCAACAGAGGAAGTACAATGCTGATTATCTCTGAATAAATAACTTGAAAATCACAAAGATGATTAAAGCTTCTTTAAAATACCATGTGTTTTTAATTTCTGCTCTTGTTCTGTCTCTTCTCATCTCCTGCCATTCACAGACCTGACAGCAAGTCTTCTCTTTCCTAAGTCCTTTACATCCCTCTCTGCTGCACAGAACTTGGAGAGAACCCTGTGGTCCTTAAAAAAAAAAAAAAAAAAAGAAGGGAATTCACTGACAGAAGCCAGAATAGTTCTGTGTGTGTGTGTGTGTGTCAGTTCCTTAGTTTAAATCAAATTAAAATGCATAGAAGTTCTTTGGAGGGTGAAGAAGTAAGAGCCTACAGCCCTGTTTATTTTAATGGCTAAGAGTGAGATACAAGAGGCAAAAGAAAAACAAGAAGAATACATTCTCTGAATTTTTTCAGGGACTCCCCAGGTATGTGAGCTTACCTGTGAAATAAAGCCTTCAGAGGCAGAGGTTCAGCAATGGTAGATTCCTTTCTTCCATTAAAATTTTTGTTAAAAGCTGCTCTCTGAGACCAGGGATGCTTTTGTAAATGCTGGAGATCCACAGGCAACTACTGAAATCATAGTGTAGTGCCAGAACTGACAGCTCCCAACATGACTGTGGCCTTGTTATTTTGGAATCCATCTGGATGTAGTGGCTCGCTTGCATAGGTCTGACTATCCATTGCCTTGACTACAGTAATAGAGCTGCTTGTCTGTTTGTGTAGCAATGGATTAAAAAAAAAAAAAAGGATGACCAAAAAATTGATAAATTCATATACACCACGAGCATTCCTTTGCATTGCAGGATCTTATCTAAAAAAACCCCCAACAATCCAAACCAAACAAACCTCCATTAAAATGTCACTTCCAGTTAAAACCACTCAGTTATTGCCACAGAGCACCGGGGCCATTCAGGACTGCTGATGGATGCTCCAGCAGCACTTGGGTTTCCTTCATGCCTTATGTTCATCTGACTCTGTATAAATCAACATCAGAACTGTCCCATGATCTCTTGTGTCCTGTTGACTAATTACAGCAGTGCCAGTGGCTGCTGGAAACACGGTTATTACTCTGTCCTCTGAAAAGAAATAGGGGGAGAGACAAGAACTTCCAGGACTCTGAGCATCATTTTTTAATTTGCAGACATGGGGAATTTCATGGACACGGACCAGAGAAAAACAGTGACTGAAGGACAAGCTGCAGTTCTGAACTTCCCACGCATCCTGAGCCATCCAAGACCCCAAGTGACGTGGTTTAGAGACGGGCACAAGATTATCCCAAGCAGCAGAATGTAAGTCGATTTAAAGCTCAAAATGCACCCCCCCTAAAATATGATTAATTGTATTTGATAACACAGCTTACATTCTAAGTACACTAATTAAGGTTTAAAGAGAATAAAGTAGCTTCGTTCATACTGAGTTGGAGATAAATTACTATTTTAAGACCATCTCTGAACTTCTGAAGCAGTTTGACAAAATAATTCATGTGGTTTTAATGGTCCTGGTGCAGCATAAGGGGCTGGATATGCAGAATGTCTGCGCTTCCTTCACGCTATTCATTTTCAGGATACATTTTGGAAAAGGAAATGCTCATCTCTCAAATACATTTACTTGAGTGGACTAACTTAATGAATACTGAGATTTTTGGTTTTTAATCTATGAATCCATGGGTTTTTTTTTTTACAGATTTATGCTTAGTTCTGTTTTCCTCACTATAAAATTCTAAATATTGTTTATATTTTGGGGTTTTTTTAGCCTACAATGACAATTGTAGTTCTTCTTGACTAATTAGCAGCTCACCCACTAATGACACAGTACTTGCACTTTGATTAGATATTATCTCAAGGTGTGCTCATTTATCCTTTCCTGAAACAGTTATGAAGCCATCTCGTGTTTTCACCTGCACAGAGACTGAAGAGGTTGGCTGTAACATTAAAAATGTAGATTAAATCTTGTCTCATTTATTGGAAAACTGTTGAAATACCAGGAATGTTGCTGGTTATTTCTGTATTATATTTTCACGTGTTCAAAGGGATAGATGTGCTAGCAGATGATGGTAATGGAATATTGCTGTGTTCCAGAAGTGCTGAGTCTTTAGAGTTTATATTAAAAAGGGAAAAGTATTCTTGGATTTGAATTTTGTTAATCTGCACTGTGTATTTTGCTGTTGCTTATGTGCATTTTTTAAACCTGAAAGCTGGTATTACAGGCACTTTGAAACTGTGAAAATTAGTATTGCAGGGATGCGAAGAAACTGTGTAATAATTTATGAATAATTTAATAGTAATTTGATGGGAAACAGCTGGAAGATGAAACAATGGGTTCCTGGGCAATCTCTCGAAGAGAGCTAAGTGACAAATCCTGAGTTATTAACCATTAAGAATCTACTTCCTCCACTTGTGCCACATCACAAATTTTCTTTTGTCAATGCTGAGAATACCCAAATCAACTCACAGATGGTGACAAAGCCTTGTTATCCCGGTATCCGAGAGTTTCTTGGGAACCCTTGCAGGGGAACAGAGCAGAGTGACCAAGGCAGGCACGTGGTGTCTGAAAATGAGATTTGCATGAGTTTTCTTACAGTTTGGGAAAATTGCAAGTAGAGAAATGTATGTCCTGTATTTGTTGATATAAATATCCTGTTTCTCATCTGCTGTGCTTTACTCTTATTCCTACCCTGTTGGGATTGTTGGGGTAGAATCACTTGAAACTCGTGGAGTGTGGAAATACTCACAAATGGGAGAACTCTAACACTGCTCTGTAGCAGGGCTTCCATATCAATTTTATTTCCCTGGTCAGAAATTTTGTCTAGAAGGAACTTGAAGACGTTTGTCTGGCCTGTGTAGGAATTCCTGAGTACTTTTGCAGTGGAAGTGCACGTGCTGAAAGTGTGAGCCTCGTTGGAAGTTTGATGTATGTCAGATAGTAAACCTGGTAAGTTCAGGAGGTGACAGATTTATGGTACACATACCAATCATCAGAGCACTCTGTGTGCAGTAGGTCTCAAAGTATTGGAAAAACCAGAGAGCATCCACTCACATCTTGCTGTCTGTGAAATTCAGGAAGTAAATATGGCAGCCCTATAAATATGGAAAACCTGAGACACAGAGAGGATGCATAAAAACCTGAGAAATGTACAGATATCTTATGGAAAGTGTTTCTTATCTGTGGAGCAAGTTGTGCATTTAACTTGTTCTTTGCACACAAGGAGATGTATCAATTTAACTGATCAGTTTAGCCAGTGATCCAGTTAGGATGATGCATCCATCTGACTGGATCTCCTGCTAAACTCATCAGTGACATTGATGCAACCACCTTGTATGATGCTCTTTAATCTGATTAAAAGTACCTTATATTGCTAAATCAATATAAAGCTTTTTTAATGCTCTTAAACAAGCTTACAATGATTTGGCTCAATCAATCAGCCATAATATTGTGTGTCAACTGTAACAGTGATTTCTAAGTGACATCACTGTCAGCGTTCGTGGACTGAGGACATAAAAATGGGGACAGGAGTGGTGGGTTTGGTACAGTTCATTCAAATAGTTGGTAAAGTTAAACTCTTACTCATGCAAAAACCTTAACGTGCACATTCTTAACCCTGCACCGTTTTTATGCCATAAAAATGATCCTGATGCTCGTGTGCACAGAGCTGCTGTCACCACTGGTGTGGGAACAGAGCATGTGCTGAATTGTCCTTATGTGAGAGAGATGAAAGATCAAAAGTAACACACACGTAACAGTTCTGAGAAAAAATAAATTCTGAAGATGTTTCAAGGAATGTCATTTAATTGGCTCTGCAGAAGGGTTTCCCTACCACTTTTAAGGCAGTAAATGCTGATGTCGTTCTCCTTCACTACATGCAGGTATTTAGGAGACTTATGGGGAGGGGTTCTGCCAGATGGTCAACATTCCAGAAGTGGTGTGTTTCTAGGGAGCCAAGATAACAGAATTGCTGAATTGTCAAAAACTGTGGTATCACTATGTGCATTTTTTTAAATGTTCTTTACAATATGTCAAATAAGGCTTTTATTTTTCTTTGTGTTTTCTTGTAATTATTATACATGTTAGCACAGTTGCCTCTTCTGTAAGATCATAGAATAGTTTGGGTCGGAAGGGACTTTTTAAAGTCACCTAGTCCCACCCCTGCAGTGAGCAGGGACATCTGCAACTACACCAGGTTGCTCAGAGCCACATCCAGCCTGGCTTTGAATGTTCCCAGGGATGGGGCATCCACCACATCTGTGGGTAACCTGTGCCAGGGCCTCACCACACTCAGTCATGAAAAATTTCTTCCTTACATCTACCCTCTTTTAGTTTAAAACTATTTACCCCTTGTCCTGTCCGTACATGCCCTTCTCAATTGGGTTGGGGGGGGAAAGCTTCAGTGGATAGCTTTGATTTCACCTTTTTTTTAGTCGGAATGGTGACTCTTACTCTGTCAGTATGCATGGCTGTGACATTTTCTGGGAGAAAATTTCCTTTGAGACATTGGCAATTTTTTTCAAACTGTATATTCTGTTGAATTTAACTGCTAGTGTTACTCATGGTGGGATTTTGCAGCAAATAACTATGTAGTAGTTCTCATTTTAGTGGTGTTGGTAATATTTTGTTAAAGCCCCCAGATAAAAACAAGAATGGGATGACAAGTTCCTCTGAAATGAGCGGGCACGTAAAGTCAACAAATCCCTCTATAATATATGAATGTGAAGCAAATGGCCTGCACATACTCATGAGATTGTTGTTATAGTTTATGACTTAAGGCAACTAACAAATCTGCAGCAGAGCCAGAGTGATGGGAGGGTGTGTATTTAAAAATTTAAGTCCTAAAAGTCGCTGTCGTCGTCCCACCACCACTTAGTACAGTGTGGGTGTATATTCATTTTGGCTTTTATGCATTATCTGTCACCAAAGCCTCAGCTTGATGTTGTCAAGGGCTGTTTCTAGAAGGAAGCTGCTAGAAAATGTGCACATGCTAGTACATGCTAGAAAAGTGTGGATGATCAGAGAGAAGACCAGAAGGTCAAGAACAAGAGAAAACGAGCAAGGAGTGGAATTAGGGTTTGACAAGTTTATTATTATTTTACATTCCCCAGGAAATTTAAGGAAAGACTTTGCATTACACATGGAGAGATTAATGTTTGCCAAATGCACGTTAAACCAATGTGGAATTACAGCTGCACTGTTATCCAGGGTCTCGACTGATGGGATGATTTCGCTGTTTCCCTGCACATCTTACCCAAACCAGCAGCCTCTCTAAAGGTGGCTGCATCAAAAGAAGTTGCTGCTCTGGGTTGTCAAGTATTCAGCTTGCCTTGCCTGGCTGTACTTCATCAGCCTGAAAAGCTGAAGAGCACGTTTAACTTCCTTTACACGAGCACGTTCAGTACCTTGGAGAGGCACAAAGGACAGTAGCACCGTCAAGGTCTGCAATTACCTTTCAGTCGTGGTACAGAGGAATTAAATTCTCAGTACTCTTAGAGGATTTCTTACCTTTTTCTAAGGGAAGCACTTTTCACCAAAAGGCCATCAATTCATTTATTCTGGGTTTCTTCTCTAAGAAGGAAACTTCTATGCAGACATTGTTATCATCTTCATTAGTGTCCTTACAGGGAAACTATTTTTTTCCCCTAATAAGCTGCAGCTAGATGAATATTAAGTCGTGTCTTTTGTTAGTGAAATTGTGTCTGACACAAAACAGGAAAGTTCATTTTTTGGCATATAAAGGCACTCCTGGGGTGTCCCTTTTAGCTGGATGGGCATTTAGTCACTTAATTAACTGTCCGTGAACCAAAACACTTCACAAACGCACTTCAAAGCACTGGAAAGGGACCAGGAATTGCATTGTCTTTAGGCACACATGAGTTAATATCTGGTTTTTTGCACTAAGATCAATTCATTGTGCATTTGGATGTGTTTGGTCGTTAGAGTCTCTTATAGAGACTAAAGGTGCTGACTGATTGTACAAGCAGCTGTCCAATGTGACTTGCTGTGGTTTTGCACACTCACAATGCCTTGCAAATAAGCAAAGCTGGTGCAGAGTTACTGGTCGTTTGTTAAGGTAAAATTGTAAATCTCTTAATGGCAGTCTCAAAAAAAAAAGTAGCTGTAGCTAAGTAGACTTTAAAAAATAAGAAAAATTAAAATATCTAAGAATAATACATCAGATTTTGGGCTGGTGCTAGCATTAGATTAGGGTTTGCTTTGATGAGAGCAGCTGACTTAATGTGCCATGTATGCATTTTTCACTTTAGAACAAACATTGTTTTTCTGTGAGCAGTTCTGATGGCACAATGCATTTCTCCACAAACACCGGCCTGTCACACAACGTGTGCCAGTTGCACATAATTACTTTTCACACACACTGGAAAATACTTTCATTAAGATCGTGATGATTATCATTACCAAACAATAAATTCAGAGACTGTCAACTTTGCAATGTATTAGCTGAGCAATAATTTAAAAGATTAAAGTTTTGAAGATCTCTTGTCTGGTGGCATTATGGAGTGACACCTCTGAGCAGTAGGAGATGTGACAAAACCCCCTGTAATATTATTTTTATCTGCTCGTACCTTTTACAGGCTCCACATTAATTTTGAAGTCAGTACCTGAAAAAGAAGATTATTTGGTAGAATTAAATTATTTCTTTAAACTGAAATTCATTGCTACCCCTTAATTCATTTATCTAACCAAACTGCTGCGTTGAGTAATTTCAGTTTGAGGGAACAGGCAACGCTGGGAATCATCTTACATCAAGTTTTACTGCTCTCCCCAAGGCCTATATGCATATGAAGGGCTGTAGGGAAATCTCCCATCATCTCTTCAAGTTTGACAGCCCTGATGCTGTCAGTGGGCTGGTGTGAGTATTATTGTCTGCTGTGTTCAGCAGAGGATAACGGGAACACCTCAGGGTAA